CGTGCTTTTCGACTTCTCGCAGCTTTTACGAGGAAATATCCGCTCTCTGCAAAATGTCACATGGCCAGACACAAAGAATGACATGAATTCACATCAGACATTTTGAAATAGTTTCTTCTTCCTTCAGCTTTTTTTTTATCATTTACTTCATTATTTCCTTATTTCTCCAATACGTGCTCATAAGACCGACTGTGCTCATCGTGTTCTGAGACAGTTTCTATAGGAGGCTCGTATTCAGACGTGAGCACTCTGTATTAAACACCCACAGCGAGAACACCACACCCAAACACAGCTGGGATATTACCAGCCCATTGCAGCAGCCTACTACCATCAATCTATACAGCACGCTGCCGAACAGGTTTCTCCAGGTCCATGGTGTTAAGTTTCCTCTCGCTTTGCCGTATAGCTCCACGTGCACGGCAGCGCTCCACTGTGCCACACTCTGACGGGAACGTGATGGAATCTAATCCTGCAGAATCAAAACGCACATATGAATGTTTTACACATTTTATGTTTTGTCTTTGTCTTTAAATACTGCGGAGAAAAACGTTTTATTTGGCATCTGATGGAGGTGGGGTTTGTGTCCTCCTCAGTGTTGGGAAAGTCAGAAGGTCACACACACACACACACACACACACACACACACACACACACACACGTTTGGCTGAAAACCAACAGTCGTCCCTGCAGAGTGTGTGTGTAGGCGGGGGCGGGGGGGGGGGTTTACCAGGCTCCAAATCCATCCTCGTCCAAAAATCATCGAGGAGTCATGATAAAAAAAAACCTGAGATAAGAATACAGCATGACCTCATCGCTACCTGCTGCCAAATACTGAGACAGAGCCCCACACACACACACACACACACACACACACACACAAACACACACACACACACACACACTGATCAGCTGCCAGGTCGTTGTGTCGGCCTCTTACAGTAGAAGACCAGTCAGCAGGTTCAGACAACACTCTGATAGTTTATTGATAAATGGAGAATAACCTCTTTGGTTCCCAGTCTCCTCTGAAGTTAAAGCTCAGGGTCAGGTATTACTAAGTACATACATCTTTGTGTAGTATACACACCCACCCACCCACACATATATATTTATATATGTTAAGTATGGCATAAGTATAGTTTTTATTTCCAGGCTGCAAAGACATGCTTGTACAAGTATTTGTCTCATAATACTGTGGTCTTATTTCCCGAAGTGCTGCTCGACTTAAATCCCTCAAAAATACAAAACCGCTCCAGTTTCTCTGAAAACGTTTGAATCAGCTCATCAGCTCATCGGCCTCGTTCTTCAGTGTCTGGACCGACGGAGGAATTATTTGATGGTCCACATCACCCCCCCCCCTTTCCGTTTTCATCCCTCGTCTCTCATCCTGCAGCCAAGTGGACGCTAATTTGGATGGCGGATGGTCATTTATTTATTTTTTTTAACTTTGCAGCCAATTTGGCAGCCAGCAGCGCTGATAACAGGCTGCACTGTAAATCTGTCACAGTCGCTGTTGGGGGAGGGACGTCGTCTCCCCCCTGGTTACAGAAGGATGCATATTGTACCAGATGACTCTTTACTCTCATCCCACTCGCTCTCCTTCCGTCTTCCTTCATGAGATTAATCCTAATGTCTGTTTCCTGCTGTCGATTAATTAAAGCCGCCGCTGAGGTCTCCTGTGTTGTCCTCGGAGATGTCTGTGTGTTTGGATGAGGAGGACGGTTGTGTGTGTGTTGTTGTTGTTGTTGTTTGTCACGGAATAGAAGTAAAGAAGGACAGATGGGTCAATGTGGGGGTATCAAGTTATCAGAATACAATCACAGACTAATGCAGAGGACAAGGACAGGGTGTGGACAGTGTCCAGTGTCTGTCTGGGTCGGTGGTCCTGAGGTCAGTGGGGTCATCACAGGTTTGATTGGTCCTCCTCCTCATCATCACATTTGCAGTTGTTGTTGGAAAGTAGAGGTTGTACTGGTGTCGTGCTCATCGTACCACGACATGGATTGTGCGGACACCCCCCCCCAACCACACTGGTGTGTCTCCAGGGGTCGTTAACTGCTGCCGTACACATACGATAAGATTAGAACGAGGTGGATCACGACTTGTGACATGACTTGAACACAGAAGTACTGTCGCCCTCCAAAGAAATACAGAACTAAGTGATGTTAATCTCAGGTCACATTGTTCAGCTCTTCTGTGAAATCCTTCAAACAACAAGGATCTCTCCAGGAACACGTACGTGTGTGAGTCTGTGGAGTGTCGCTGCTGATAATGTCCACTTAACTGCCAACCAACAGTTTCCAAATCCCCCTCGTGTGTGGGTGGAAAGTTTGATGCATCTCATTTTAATTGAATATGTGAGTTGTGTGTGTGTGTGTGTGTGTGTGTGTGTGTGTGTGTGTGGTTTTAACAGTGTGAATAAAGAGGCTCACTCAGTCAGATGGAGGTTGTTCATTTAAAAAAGATGGAATTTTTAAATTCGACGACCAACCTTGACTCAAGTGGTTGATTTTGTTGGATTGTGTTGCCTCCACCTGTCTGTGTGTGTGTCTGTGTGTGGGTGTGTGTCTGTGTATGTCTGTGTGTGTCTGTGTCTGGAGTAGGAACCTAACTTGTGTTTCCCTTCATGAGAAGATGGTCACACAAAGAGAATTATGTGTGTCTGTCTGAAACCAAGCCCAAGTGCAGCTTGCACAGATGGAGGAAGATTAACACGGAATGTGCATGTGTGTGTGTCTGTGTGTGTCTGTGTGTACATTGTGTGCATTCGAATGCGGGCTGCCAACAATAGATTTTCCACCCAGTAGCTGCTTTGCATACTGAACAAGTACTGTAGCTTTTGTTATTGCGAGACGAACACGCATTAGTTTTCTGTTCTCTTCTCTGATCGGTGCAGAGCCGGTGTGAGACGCTCAGGATCGTGATCGCTGTGGCTTTTGTTTGCTCCTTCACGTTTGTCACCGGTCTTGTGCAGCATGTGAAGTATTTCACTTCTGCGACACCTGAAGTTTATAGAAGGAAAAAAAAAACCTCATTTACTTTGCACGTAATTGCGAACAGATCGACACGCGTGTCTAAGAAGGCTTGGCAGTAAGTGCTCTGCCACGTCTGAGGCACCTGGATGATTCACACGTCTGCAGTATTTCTTGCTTCTGGTGTCATTTCGGAAGCGTTTTAAGAAAATTGCTCCGGTTAAAGAACAAACCCAGGTCCCTCGTGATTCAGAAAATGAAATAGAAGCTGCAGTATTTTATTTTTTTTTGTGTTTGTGCTTCTCTTCCACCTGATCTCTTTCTGGTGGAACTGTCCAGTAACAAGACAAACAATCCCGACTGTTCCAATCACGTTATATTTTATCGTCTGCGTCTTCTCTCTGTGAAAGTTATTTTTGTTCCAGGCCAACGACAGAGTGTGAAGTCCGTCCTGCTGTTGGTCACTCTGCTTTGGTGTCAAACTAACAGTGACAGTAAAATGTTTCTGTTCTTCACTGGGAGGTTCCATCTATTCCTTTTCTCTTTTACTCTTTCTCTTCACGGTGGAAACAAAGCTGCCTAGATACTCTTTTGCGGAAACCTGAAATGTGATCTGAGTGAAAAGAGACATTTAAGATAAAAAAAAATAAAAAAGTGAAACAGAAAACCAACATTGTTGGAGAACTCTTCCAGTCACGAACTCAACACTCGGGGAAAGTTTGGTGATTTATTCGTGTGTTAGTCGACTCCCTTCCCCCTGGTGTCCAATAACAGTACTACTCTCAGTGTGGTCATGTTCTAACCGGTTGTTGTGTCTCCACAGGACGGAGCCCCTGAAGGAAACTGACTGTTCATGTTAAGAGGCAGAGCCAAGCATCCTCAGATGGACACTGGAAAACCACCAGCATTCTACTTTTTCAAAAGACACAAGATAGAAAAATAAAGACTGAAACAGCACAGTTGTACCTCCCACCGTCCTCTCCTCTCGCTCTGAGCCAATCAGAGAACACCTCTTCAGCGTTCTACCTCCCAGAGAAACAGAAAAGGAAAAAAAAAACTAAAACAGCAATTTATTATATTTGCTATCGGTTCCTCTTTTTATTTTCTTCTCTTCGTGCAACATTTCTCCATTTACCTCAGGGATCTTCTCCCACTGCCTACCTCCTCCACCAAACGGCCCAGTGACTGGAACGCCTGTGACCTTTCACTGCTGTTACCCTGACAACCTGTGTTGCCTCTCAAGCTCTCTACCCACTGAGGCCGTGACAACCAGCAATGACCTTGGACCTCTCACCACCTGCCAGCTCAGATCCGCTCTCACTGCATGAATCGTACCGATCCACAATTGTAGCCTGGACCCTGGGCTAGTTCGCACTGGAAGGAAGCGTTTTGTTTTGCCATTAAGGCAGCTACACACTCACAGTATCCTCACCTTCTGAAAAAAAATATATACCTGGCAACAATATACCTCAGCAAACACATCCTCTAGACACTCACTCAGTCAAGGAAACAGAAGGGAACCTTTCCGTGACAGCATTCACTCTCCTGGCGCTCGACCCAGCAGGTAACACGTGCTCACCAGCCTGGTGCTTCAGTCTGACCGGTAGACAACCCACTCCAGCATCTTCCACTTGCCTTAGAGGCAGGAGTGCCGCAACAGCAGCCAGGGCGGCCTCCGGAGAAGCCGGGAGAGACTTCAGAACATCAACTGGCAGGAAACATCACTCCGCGTGCTCCTCAGGCAGCAAAGTCACATCACACATGAGCCTCATGGCATAAGACGTAGCATACGAGGCCTTCACGCATCGCAGGGGACACTCAGAAGTCTTCACCACCCCCCCCCCTCTCTGCCTTGAGCTTCCTCTTCACCCGGCGAAGCCTCCAGAGAAGCGAAGCTACCCACGGAGCAGGAGAAGTTCCTCATTAGCTTCTCTTGAAACACTTCCTGGCGGAGTTGACTGGAAACCTCGGAGAAAGTAAAAAAAGAGTAAACACTGAGAAGATCCATACTCTGTACCGGCGAGGAGGGAAGGAAGGAGGGAGGGAGGGAGGGAGGAGAGGAAGCATCACACGTAAAGAGAAGAATGCAGCGGTGAGTTGTGTTCTTTTGTTTATCAGCATGTGTCCTTCTCGTCTTTCTTCTCCTTGTTGACAGGATGTAAAGAATCTATCAGTTACATCTGACACACGAGTCAGATCCAGGTTGTTGTGTTCCCTGCTCACGCTCCTCACTTTCCATTTTATACTCACTACAGAAGAAAACTACTTTATACTTTCCATATTTCTGTATCTTCGTGTCTAACTGACATTTAACTGGCATTTCTGCCTTATTAAATGATACAAAGCAGAGACAGTCGGGGTATTACGAGAGACGGAAGGAGCACTGTGCTGGAAAGGTCATTAACTTAATCTCCACCGTCTCGACACATCTCAGTGAAGAGTCCTCAAATAGAAAATCTGAGTTTGGTTTGAAAGAACGAGCCTGAAGTTGGTATCTTGAAGAATCTCCAGCTGAGCGACGTGAAGCTTCCATTGTTACACGTTAGTGCCGGTCAAGATTTATCTTAACGACTATACTTAAAAGTAATTTACCTGCCGTGAAGATTTTATTTTTAGAAAATCCCTTAAATGTGTTTCTGTAAAGTCAAATGAAAAAGTCCCATTAATCAAAACCTGACTGAAACTCGTGCTCGAGCTTCAACATCGTTATCAGGAGGAAGCTCCTCCAAAGATCTGAGTTGTAACATGTGGGAACGTTCCCACTCAGTCAGAACACCGTTGTTCGATCCCTGCGAGAGTGAGACACTGATGTGTGTGTGTGTTGGGGGGGGGGGCACAGAGGACGAGCCTCACCTCAGACACCCTCTGTCCTCTGCATCCCTCCCACAGTCGTCCAGCCTGAGTCACATGTATGTTCCAGCCTCGGCGTCATTGATAGTCTCCTCACAGCGTAGCGCCATAACTTGTCCCCGCCCTCTGGATCGTGTTGCCATGGCAATATACAGCCTTCCTCCACCACGTCGTAATGTATAGAACGCAGAGCGTCAGCCAATCAGATCGCTGTGTGTGTGTGTGTCTGTGTGTGTGTGTGTGTGTCTGTCTGTGTGTGTCTGTCTGTCTGTCTGTCTGTCTGTCTGTCTGTCTCTCTCTCTCTCTGTGTGTGTGTGTGTGTGTGTGTGTGTGTGTGTGTAACATCACTCATGTTATATTGGGGAATTAAATCTGTGTAAACACACTTGTTTTCTTTACGGGAACAAAATGTCCCGGTGACATTAAAGCTGTTTCTCTGGACTTTGTCTCTCGTCGTCTCCGTCTCTTGTAAACGCTGAACGTTAACGACACGCAGCCGTGGGACGGCGGAGTAAAGACTCGAGCCTCCTCCGTCTCTCTTGTGAATGGTTTTTGAACAGGGTGGCAGAAAGTTAATCTGTGCTTTAGCTCTTTTCGCAGCACACGTCTCCCAGCGTGTTGCCAGTCACATGCAGCGGCACATACCAGCCGTTACGCCTCTATAGCAACGGAGAGTTCAAACTTCTCCTCGAGAACTTTCCAGAGTTTCAAAATCCTCAGAGAGAGAAACTACTGGAAAAAGCTGACGAGCCTTTAAACTGGTTTGTTCTCGGCTTCATGTAACTGAAGTATTTTCAGCACCAACGCGCTAAGATTTAAAGTAGTTTATCGTAAAACAGTCGGAATCAAAGAATCCAACGTTATTTCTTGTAATTGATTAATGAAACAGTTGAATGTAAAGTGATGATGCGATGATTAAAGTTTCCTGAGAGGAAGTTTGTGGATTTGGATGAATTCAGATGTTTCCGTCTCTTCTCGTAATCCTACGCTGAGTCCCTGATGAGGTTTATTATTGTTGGGATCGTGCCTGTTAAAAGAAGTACCCGCCTCTCTCTGGAGGTTTTCGTGTTTTATTATCTCACAGCTTTGAATCAGAGCAGATTTACGGTGGAGTTCTCACCGATCGGAGTCTGAGTGGATTGGTCTGTGGTGGCTCTGCTGCTGCTCTTTGACAAATGGTTCGAGCTCTTGTCAGGTTGCGTGGGAATAATGAATGAAAAGCCTTTTTCAAGTCCCGACACACGTTCTCATTTGGATCGTGTTTTGCTGAGCGATCCTCCGTCCAGGCTGCGGCGGTTTCTCCTCGGTTTCGGACTCTCCATCTTCCCGAAGGTCGGCCCTGTCAACACGGATCGTTATTGGACATTGTCATGTTTTAACTACAGTCAAACTCTCGGCGGAGCGTTGATTCATTTTCACCTCCTGTTTGTGACAATCCCAGAAGAACACATTTGAATGGCAGCTTTAAATCTTGATCCTGAACCGTGGTGACTTGAATTTGTATATTTATGAAAACTTGCCAGAAAGAAAACTGTTTTTTCCGCCTTATATATAAATATATACATTTTATGGCCTTTGAAAATTTGAAGTACATGTGTAAGTATGAGAAATATATTTTGCTCCTTATTAGTGTCAAAAAGTCACATAGCACACACTCGACACAAAGGGAGGAAGTTATCTGCTCAGTGCGTCTGGTATATAAGCACATCACATCCTTTGTTTAACACGTAAAGGAAGCTCATTATTAATTCATGGCCATGAGATTTAAAAGAACAGTGGATAAAAATATCTCACTTCAAGGGAAACGGAAAAACAACGAGAACAAAAAGTCACGCAGAGACAAAACTGCGTCTGAGAGAAAACAACAGTTTCAGAAGGTTCACGGCGAAGCTGCAGTGGTTCAGTGGTCGACAGCTCAGGAAGCGGTCAAACGTGGCCCGGCAGGGATTCTGTATGTGGTCTGCACTGCAGCCTCTGAAGTGTGCGAACCACGTTTCTCATAATGCATTTCAGTACCAGGTGTTTCATCAGTCACGAGTCTTGGAAACGATGACACCGTGGATGAGACACATGTTTGAATCCGGCTCCCAAAGGCGTCGTACGTGGTCTCAGAGGTACAGACACCGTGTCCTCAGAGTGAAGTTCTGTGCTCAGAAGACGCTTGAGCAGATTCTTCCTCGTGTCACAGGTCGTCTGAGGCCTGTGCTCGCTGTAGTCACTCAGTTCAAAGGATGAACAGCACCTGTCACGCATGTCTGCACACATGCAACACGCATGCCCAGATGCAAAGAGCACACGCAACGACGCCAGATCACATTCTGTTCTTTTTTCCCTGTGATCTGTGTTCTCTTCCTTCAGTCTCTCTCTCTCTCTATCTTCTCTCTCTGTCGTTCTCACTTTCACTTCCTTGTGACTAGTCTCTCGTCCCTCGGTGTCTCTGACGTCGTCTCCGTCCCTCTCTGTCCTTTCTTTCTATCGTCTGTGCCTGTGGCTCGCCTGCAGGACCATTGATTGAAACTTGGAGGGACACACAGTCCTTGGCAGCCTTTATTTCAGCATGTCAGCATGATCCGGGCCGTGCTGTCAGCTGTCCTCATACAGACGCTCTGCTGTACCATAAATACGTCACCATCAGCTGCAGTTTGCAACCAGGGCGGTTTTCTGGCCCCGGCTTCAACTGCAGCCCGAGATCAAACCTAACGTGCAGGTTTGGGATATTTCTGCTCGGGTGCAGTTTGCAATGTACGAGTTATTCCTGTTTGACGGTAAAGATGTTGAATAAGTAATATACATATCTGGAGATGGGAACCAAGCCAGTGGTGGAAGAGTTTGTGAGATATTTACAGGCTTAATGTCGTAATGTCGCTGCCAAGGTTCAGGGATCTCTGCCGAGTGGATTTCTTATTGTTAAATGTGGTTTTTGCATTTTCTTTAACTCGTTAACTCTGGAAAACAAAGTTTGGCTGCTCGGGCCTGTCGCTCCTTCAAAGAATCAAGTTCCAATGAATTTAACGTGACACTTAAAAACTGCTGAATTTGAGCTGAGACTGAAAAGCTGTGGTGTTCTATCCTGAAGTCACGTGATCGTTCTGTGTTTCATACAGAAGAACTGTAAATGTCTCCTCCCCCCCACCCACCACTCTCCTTCCTCCCACATAATCGTTTTCACTAAACATTTTTCACACGTCCGTGTTTTTCATCTCGTCGCCTGTGACGGAGCTGATCCTCCGTTGTTTGACGGATTCTCTCCATTCTGCAGAAAAGTCGTTTCTCCTGTGGGAGCGGAGCACGTTGAGAGACCGAACGACTCGACTGTTACTCGCCGTGCGTTTTACAGGAGGAACTCTGATTCTATCCTGAGAAGCAAATATAGATCGATGGCTCCACGTTTGATATGGTTCAGAGTCTTCACCCGCCCGCCCCTGGGCCTGTGGAGACGCCCCCTTTTTATATGCAGCTGTTCAGGGTTGATTAGTAGTCTCTCTCTCTCTCTCTCTCTCTCTCTCTCTCCCCCCCCCCCCCCCCCATTGAAACAAATAGATTTGTCCATTTGTTGTGTTGTGTGGGTTTGCCTCTTATGTCTTCACATGTCTATTTATTGCTCTGATTGAGAGCAGCAGTNCCCCCCCAGTGTCCTTATATATGACATACGTGTCCACTGCTGCTCTCAATCAGAGCAATAAATAGACATGTGAAGACATAAGAGGCAAACCCACACAACACAACAAATGGACAAATCTATTTGTTTCAATCGGCAGAAAGCGCACAGAGAGAGAGAGAGAGAGAGCGAGCGAGAAGTGCTGCAGTGCATGATGGGAGTTCCCTCAGCAGTCTAGGCCGATGGCAGCAGAACTAAGCGAGGGTCCATGGCTCACTGGGCTGTAACTGAAAGCTTTATTATTGTTTTAATGAACCTGAGACGCTGAATAACGTCGCGCGTTGTTTTAAAACCAGATCTACAATCTTCATTTCTCAGCCTCTGAAGCAGACGGAGAAATGAAAAGTGGAGAATCTCCTGCTCACGTGGTTTTTTTTTTACCAGGACGCTGCAGGAGAAACTCCAGAGAACATCCGCAGTGACGGACTCTGCAGTTTGTGCACGTTCAGCCCCTCAGAAGAATTGACTGCACGTCTGAAGCAGCTGATGCCTCCACATTACTCTTGTTGATCTTAATTCTCGTTTCGTCCCCTTTATTAAAAGCTGCCGTCGGTTTTTCTAAATTATGACAAACAACTGCAAGA